ATAGTCGATGTAATCGTGACTAGTCGACTAATCGTGGCAGCCCTATTTCGGTGTGAACTGAAAGTGTATATATGCATAAGATTTCCATCAAGAGTAAGTGCCAAACGATGCCTTCTTCAAGGCTCGTTATACTAGACAAGTGGTGTTCTTCTCCCCTAGAATCTCAGCACGAACAGCTGGGGTACAAAACTGACAGACATGGCTCTGAAAGATTGACTCGATTAAAAACAAAAACAAAACAGCAGCCTGTTCATCTCTGTTAAAACCCAAATACTGTGTCTGACAAAATGCAAACTGCCAAAAGTCAGTTTACCATCCAATTAAAAGGAGGGTCAGGGGAGGACGTATGCAAGCCGCAGCTGCAATAATGTTTTGTTTTAAATGTAGCTGTTGGAATCTGGGAGAACACAGAGATCCTTTCATTGGATCCCAGCACCAGCAGCCAGTTTAGTTTTCCCCACCAGCTTGTGCTGAACACATTCCTGCTACTTGCAGGACTAGCATGTCATTCATGGACTGACGCTTTGGGATTATCCGCCACACTCATTCAAAAAAAATAAATACATAAAAATCCTGGATTAGTGTTTTCAGATTTCACCGAGTTCCCACATTACTGACACACTATTAATACTTGATACCCTCACAGTTATTCAAAAAGGTTATTATTGGTTTATACATTTTATGACAAGTTGAGACTTTTCAACATTAAAAAAAACAAACAAACAAAAAATCCAAAACCCTGTACTTCCTTTAAGTGACACTAAAAGAACCGTATGTAAACCACATCTGGCCGTTCCATTCACTAACATGTCCTGAATAAACCTGGCAAAGCTACCTTAAGCTCATCTTTTGTTCCCGTCACTTTCAGCGCTGATAATCAGTTATTATTCACTTCCTTGTGTTACTCGTTTTTGTTACACTCAGGGAAGCTGCTCTGCTGCAGTTGAGGTTCTGCCTGTTGAAACTGGTTTGATTACATTAAAATCAAAGCATATGACTGGGATTTTTCCCCCGCCTTGTGTTATCTTCAAATGTTTAATGCGTTGCTATGACAACCCTGACAATGTGGATGTGTTTCTCTGTGACATCTTGAGGCTGCTTTCATTACTGCTATAAATGTAATAGAAGGCGCCCATTGAATTCTATTAGCAAACAGGGCCCGACTTTTGGTGATTTTTCTTGGCAGCACAGCATAAAAAAAATTGCAAACACACACACACACACACACACACACACACACCAAGTTTTTCTTCAGCACAGTGAATCAAACATATCATAGTTCCCAGCATGTTTGAATAAGCACCTAGAACTTAAAAATAATGAAACTTAAGGGTCAGACGTGACTCTCAGCAGTGCAATCGTCTAAACGGGGCACCAGAGGGAGGGATGCACCCTGGCGCCATAAACTGGACGCCTCTGTCTGGGATCGAGTTCAAATAAGCCTCAACTCACCCCTTCTCCTCAAACTCATCCCCCTTGTTCCTTTAAACATATGCACCTACCTCTCACACATACTCAGGCACAGTTGGCACCCCATACCTAAACATATTCACACATCACATCACCGCTCAACACATGGCTCTTTGTATGAGGAGCCTGATTGGAGGTACGCAGACACACACAAACACACACACACGCTGAACTTTTAGGTGAAACAACCATCCAGTCTCTCCTCGAGCAGGGCCCCCTGCTTGCCCACAGCGCAGGCGTACAATCAAAAGGGCTATATCCATGTGGAAAATAGACGTAGTTACCAAAGTACACAAATAAAAGTGAGATGGTCAATATTTCACAGGAATGTCTGTACAAATGTCACATTGTTAGCTCAAAGGATTAGGTCTCTGAAAACTGAAGAATCTTAGCTAATGCATACTTTGTGAAAACATTTTGGCAGCCAATTGCTCAAACCGCTGGGAGAGAAATGGCACCCGCTGGAACAAAAAGAGCGCGCAGCGAACACGAACAGTTAGAGCTTATAAAAATCAACATCCCACTGACATGTTTCTGCCTCACCATTGCAGGGAAAAAAGGAAAAAGCTTTGTCAGTTGATGCATCAGTCATTTCTCCACCAGCACTAGCATGAATAGTCTTTGTGCGACGAGTTGCCTGATGGAGTTCCTTTGAGGGGCCTCTGTCATCCCCTCCAGTTTCCCCAAGTACTTTAAGATGTAATAAGACACAGTGACAGAGCATTGTTCAAGTGTCACTTAGAAGAGGAAAACTGCAATTTATGGCAGGGAAAACGAGAGAGTAGCATCTTGTAAACAAACATGCGACTGTGTCGTGGCATTCATGGGCTCTTTGCTGCCTCTCTGGCCTTTCCTTTGTGGCTGTTGAGGGGGGAGCGACCACCATCCCCTTTAAATGGCTCATAAAATAAGTCACTTCCCTTTGACATTGTCCTGCCTCTCAAACTTTGTTCTCAGAGGAAGGATGGTGGGGGAGGTGAAAACGCCTTACAGACAAAAACCAGATTAGACACCTCGCCACCCCCTCTGCCTGCCATCATGTGCCCCTGAACCAGACGGACCTCAAAGTGCCCCCCGCTGCCGCCTCGCCCGCCACCACCCTGCAGGCTTAACCAGCGAGGTCAGGGGTTAACAGCGACTCCTCTGAGAGAGGTCCTGTCCTCTGACCCCTCCTCTCCCTCCCTGTCCGCTAGCCAGCACATCCACCACACACACAGTTAGTCATGCCTCAAACCCCAATCACTCCAATAATAACGCCGCCAACACACATATCCCCCCCAAACAAAAATTGTAAAAATCCTCACAAGTACAGGCAATTAAGAGACACGGAAACAGACAACATA